ACCCTGCAGAGACGAACCCAGTCCTTTGCCCGGCACAAAACCATTCTTCAACATTTCATTTGCCACCATGGCGGACGCGAAGGATAGCTTTGGACCTGGAATGCATTCTCCTTCAAGAATCTTCTCGACATACACTGTTTCAATTGTTTGGTACACCCAAGGCCCTTTATCATCTTCAATTTCAATAAATGGAACAATTGTGTCATTGTAAGCAGATAAGTTCTCATCACTGTGCACAACTATTTCCTGCCTGTCCCATTCAAACTTTACCATTTGATGCAGAGAAGACGGGATTGCCTTGGCAGCATGTATCCATGGCCTGCCCAACAACAAGTTGTAGGAGACAGCCACATCTAGCACTTGGAACTTCATAGTGAACTCAACTGGACCTACTGACAATTCGAGCATTATATCACTGATGGAATCTTTCCCTCCTCCATCAAAGCCTCGAACACATACATTGTTCATGTGGATCTTTCAGTGCCGATCTTCAACTTTTGCAAAGTGGACAGAGGGCAGATATTTGCACTAGAACCATTGTTCATGAACCAATACCCTTGAGACAGTAGAATCCTCGCACTTCACTGTAAGATAAAGAGCTCGGTTGTGCTCCGTACCCTCTATAGGAAGTTCATCATCTGAGAAAGTGATCCTATTTGCTTCGAAAATCTTGTTAGCAATCTTTTCCAAGTGGCTTACCGTGATCTTATCAGGAACATGGGCCTCATTTAAAATCTTCATCAGGGCTTTGCGGTGTTCATCTGAATGTATCAGCAAAGACAAAAGAGAGATTTGAGCTGGTGTTTTCCTTAACTGCTCTACAATGGAATAGTCTTGCATTTTCATCTTTTTCAAGAACTCTTCAGCCTCTTCTTCGGTGACCGGCTTCTCTATTGGGATGTGGCCATCCTTGAATGGCTTAGCTTTCCTCAGTTCTTCTGGGGTAAAACATCTCCCAGAACGAGTCAGTCCTCCGGTTTCATTGACTTCTTCCTCTACTTCTTTCCCTTTATATGTTACTATCACCTGTTTGTAATTCCACGGGACGACTTTTGTGTCAACCATTGGCAATTGGGTCACTGTCTTAATAATAACGGGGGTAATACGAGCCCCTTCCACGATTATGTCAGGCTTGCCCGGGACCCCTGGTACGATCACTTTTTGCTTTTCCTGGTTCGCTTCAACATCAATCAGAGGCCCTTTCACAACCAATACAGATGGCTTCACGTTGAGCGTGCTTAGCTTCTCCGACACCCCTTCAACTGTCAAGGGCATTACTTTTGCAGAATCTGGAGCTTTAACTGGATTACTTTCGCTAGCCCGGATCATCATGACAAACTTGGAAGAATTCTTGGCCTCCCCATCCTTATGAACTATCTCAATCATATGTGCCTCTGCATGGGCCGGCAAAGGATTTTGGTTGATGTTTGGTGCCTCCGGGTTCTGGACCACAATTTGATTTGTATCAATAAGCTCTTGGATCGCCCTCTTCAAATGCCAACACTTCTTCATGTCGTGCCCTGGGGCATCAGAACAATATGCATATCTAAGGGAATAATCAAGGTTCCTTGGAGGTGGATTTGGTGTCTTTGGCTCAATCGGCCTTAAAACGTCCAACTGCCTCAACCTTTGAAACAAACTGGTATATGACTCTCCAAGAGGGGTGAAGGTTTCTTTCCGCTGCAGCCTCTCTTTTCTATAATCCGGCCTTGATCGAAAGTTTGGACCAGTAGGGTTTCGATATGGTTGTGGGGGTGGATAAGGATTTTGTGGAGTTGGAGCACGCCATTGCGGGTAAGGAGGGGGTTGCGCATATGACTGTGCATGGTGAACATGGTATTGGGGTGGTCTGACTGAATATTGAGGGTCTTGTGGTGGGAAATAATGTTGGGATGGATTATATGGAGCTTGGGTGTAGGCTTGAGGTTGGGGTCGAGGTTGGGTGTACTGGTGAGGCGAACCCCTTGGGCCACGCCCTGATCCAGAGACAAACATAGCGACATCATCTTTCTTCTTTTTGCCTAACAGGCTTCCGGTGCCACTTTGAATTGCTTGTGTGGTTGCTTTTATGGCGGAGTAGCTCATGATCTTGCTTGACTTGAGTAACTCTTCCACCATTCCTCCCATCGTTACCACATCGTTGAAGGACTTACCTATGGCTGAGATCAAATGGCCAAAGTAAGTAGGTTCTACGGCTTGAAGAAAGTACTCGACCATCTCATCTTCTTCCATTGGAGGATTGACCCGTGCAGCTTATTCTCTCCATCTGAAACCATATTCCCTAAAGCTCTCACTGGGCTTCTTCTCTACCTTGGTCAAAGATAGGCGATCCGGGATAATGTCTATATTATACTGAAAGTGCCGAGCAAAGGCCTGAGCCAAGTCGTCCCATGTGTACCACCTGCTAGCGTCTTGGTGGGTGTACCATTCTAAAGCCGCCCCACTCAAACTCTGACTGAAATATGCCATTAATAATTCATCTTTCCCACCGGCGCCTCTCATCTTGCTGCAAAAGCCTCTCAAATGGGCCAGGGATCTCCATGTCCATCGTATAGGTCAAACTTGGGCATCTTGAACCCAGCGGGCAGTTGGACATCAGGTAATAAGCATAAATCCTTGTAAGCCACACTTACTTGGCTTCCTATCCCTTGCATGTTCTTCAAAGATTGCTCTAGACTCTTCACTTTCCTGAATATCTCATCCTGCTCCACGTTCCGGGATGGTTTCTCAGTTTCAACAGGAGGTTCAAAGTGAGGGGTGTAGGAATAAGGATCCGTGACTTTGAAAGTTGGTTCCGGAGCATAATATTGGGTATCTGGAGCTTGGAACGCGGGTTCACTAGAAGATCGGTGGAGGGTAGCTCGCGGAGGGGCGTCGGAGCCGGGTATGCGGTTGTTTTGGCTGGTGGAGCATGGAATGTTTGGGATGAGGTGCCAGGGTAGTGGTGGAAAGGGGTAAAACCCGGTGCATGCTGAGGGGAATGATCAACGGTAGTGGGATTCTGGGCTTGTGCCAGTGGTGGGATGAAAGCGGGATTTTCTGTGTAGTTAGCGGGAAATGAAGGTGGAGGATGCCCTCTAATCCAGGCTTGATACATTTCAGCCATTTGATGCTTCAACCCGTGGACCTCCTCTTTCAATTCAGGCTCTGATTCTACAATCTCCCTCGGCGGGTCAACAACACCCGTGTCCGACTCTTTGCTAGTCAT